AACTACCACCTGGTGTGACGAGGCAATCGTCAGGAGCCTTATATTAACAGAGACCAGACCCATAGATACCACAGCAAAAACATAACCACAAGGAACATGCTTCTGATGAGCAGTTTAAATATATATATATATATACATATTTTATCCCCATTTTTTTTTTGAGTTAATGCACAGAAAGGGCTAAAAAAAGTGGGAACCTTGCTGTACTGCCAAGAGGAGGAGCTGGGAACTCTCGCTGGATGCTCTGTGTTTCCCCAGTCCCTTGGGCATGGCTGATGTTTGCCAGGAGAGTGAGAAACTGGTTATGAGAGGAGGAGGACTGGGGAAGGTGGCAGTGGCTGTGGGCTGCTGCAGCTCTGCTCTCGTGAAGAGCACACCGCCTGCTTTACTTTCGCACCTCTTCCTGGCATTACAAAAGTGTGTTAGAAATTCTACAGAGGCAGGGGAGAAAGGAAGAGAAGGGGAAGGGCCTGGGTGTGCCAGCTAGGGCTCTGCAGTCCTGTTTGTCCTCTGGTACTCCTCCAGCTCTGATTTCCTGTCCATGGCGAGCTGCAGCTCCTGCTTGATGATTTCAATCTGCTTCTCCAGCTCCGTCAGCTCCTGCATCACGGAGGCTCTGGAAATACTGAGGGACTCCGCTTTGCCGTTGGTGGTCAGAGAAGCCCGAGTTTCCTTCCTCACCTGTGGCAGTGGGATGTCCTGGTGCTGCTGAATCGCCACCTCGCTGTGCCCTTCATCTGTGCACATGTACTTTTTCTGGTGACAGTTGCCCAGGCTGGCTGTGTTCCACACCACGTGCTGGCTGTTCCCTACGTGGGACCTGAAAAGAGACGTGAGAGTTAACACGAAACCAGAGCCTGCTCCTGTGTGTGTCCAGCCTTCCCCTGTGAGCCGTTCTACTGGCACAAATTACATAGAAGTATTATTCCTTTATCCGTGGAATTAATTTTCTTGAGAAGCACAGATCGTTAACGTAAATGGCCGAATTGTTTTTGACTAAGCCATAGCAGTCACTAGAACAGAATCCTAAAATTCATCTTCCCCCAAACATTTTTTGGTTAGCTGTGAACCTGCAGTCCTTCCAGCTCAGGAAAACACCAGCCCTCCTGCTCTGCTTTCTGAAAGCTGTTGTGGCTGCAGTGTCCTAAGTTGGTCGGTGTGTTCCTCTCGTGGAGGAAAAAAAGGGGTGATGTGGGCAGATGAAGGGGAAGGGGTGTTCTTTGGAGTCTTCTTGAGCAGCTGCTTACGCTTTGGGAGATGGACACAAAGATGCTGTGGATCGAAACCTTGCAAGTACAGATGTGAGTTTCCTAAGAGAATAAATAGAATTTGGAGTTTTTGTGCTGTGAGAGAAATTCCCATCTGGAAAATTTTAAAAGTGCTTCAGTGCGTCCCTGTGGAAGAATCTTTCAAAACCACTCTGATTCCAGAGAATCTTTTCCCTCTTTCTTGGGAACTTCGCTCTCAGCCCTCCCAAATCAGGGCATTTCCCAGGGTTTCCTTCTGATCCCAGGAGCACCTGTGCCCTCTGCTCTCCAGCTGGAACGTGAGAAACCAGAGTTTGCTAGAGTGGCAGTGGAGCTTGGCTCTCCTACCTGCTTCACCTTTTTGGATAGATCCGTGTGCGTTCATTTTATAATGAACGCACAGAGGTTGAACCTCTGAGGCAGTTGCTCTTAAAACTGCTCCACAATAGGGGTGTTCTATGGGCGTCCTTGGACAAAACGCCTGTTAGCGTGGGCTGACAATTGGCCGGTCAAGGAAGAGAATTAATGCTTTAGGATTGGGATTGCTGGAAGCAGTTGGTTACAGGAGTGGGTATTCTTCTCACCTGCCGGCAGAGAAGGAAGTTGGGAAATGGAGGTGACAGTCAGGAGTGTGTACACAAAGACAGGATGGCAGAGAGGAAGGAGGGGAGCAGCAGCCCCATCCTGGGTCGTGCTCCGGAGGACTCGGAGAACCCCAGAAAAGGATGTAGGGTTGTTTATTTTTGTGCAGATCAGCACATTTCTCATACTTCAAGATAAAACACTGGAAGAATCTCCAGCCTTGCACTTAGCAGGATGTGTGTTTTGCGATGGAATTACGTTAATTCCCTGAAGAGGGAGAAGTAAATGAGAACCTCCTAAGCATGTTTCAGACAGGGAATAGGAGGAGCCTGGGCAAGTAGAAACCAGCAAAAGGATTTCCAGGGCCAAGAGCAGGCAGCCACTGTGCTGCGTCTCCACAGCAGCCTAGACAAAAAAGGCACCTAGTGAGGAGCAGAACCACTGCCACGGGGCTGCGGTGCCCAAAGTGTCTCCCTGCTGCGTGGCTCTTCAGAGCCCAGGCTCCTCGGCAGCCAGTGTGGGCAGCTTTCCTGGGAGCAGAAGTACGTGTCTGGGAGAAGCTTCAGCCCTTTGTTTTACACATATTCCAGAGTGGCATCATCAATCCACAAGTTCTGATACTCTTTTATTTTCCAAATCACAACACGGCTTTCGGATGCAGTGTTAGTACCTGACGCTGCTGCTGCTGCTGGCAGTGGGGCTTCTGTCTGTGGGGCTGGCCAGGTGGTGTCATCAAAGGCCAGAGTCTACAGCTAACACCCAAGTGTCATCTAGTAAATAAAACCCTTTACAATTTGGCTACTGATGCTGACCAGCTCTCCTACATTTTGGAAAGTTATGTTCTGAAAAAATAATGGATTTTCTTCCCTGAGGAAAACAGCAGCAGCATAATGCAAATTCTTTCCACCTCTTATCTGTGTCTTGATGCTTTTAATAATTCCACAGTACCCAGCGGGAATAAAAGCAAGTGTCCTGTCACAATTGATTTGAGAGCCCGTGGTTCATGACAAGCTGGACACTGTATCACCAGGTGTCTTGAGTTAAATTCACCGTAACTCTGTGCAAACTGCAGCTCAGACCATAGAATCATAGAATGCCTACTTGTTTGTATGTAGGCAGTCCGGAAGCTTATAGATGTTTACTTATATTTGCTGCCATTAGCGCAGGGATGACAAACTAAACACAACATATATTTACATATTTGGGTTTCTGTCATGCCAAATATCCGGGCAACAGCCTGGAAAATATTTATTTCCTAGTCTGTGTCTGAAGTGATCTGCAGAAAAACAAAATTGCTGCTTGTGTCTTTAAAAAGTGCTCAAATAGTGAGCAAGTGTACAGTTTTAAAGAAAATGCCCTGTGCCCCTGGTAGCTACAGCTAAGATTGCCTCCTCTTCAGAAGATGCAGGCTATGAAAACAAGGCAAGGTTGTTACCTACTCTTTTTCTCCAACAGGAGACCTTTGAGACAAAGGTTTCTGAAAGGACTGCATCTCAGCTTTCTTATTTCTCATTATGAAAAACCAAGAAAGCTGAAAAAGTTTCTAACACATGTACTGCCTGACCTCTCATTCACTGTGAAGCTGTCTCATAGGATCCTGGTCATCTGTCAGTGCTTTAGCGTGTCAGTAATTAATCACCTGTAAGCAAGGGCAGTGGATTTAAACCGCAAAGCCCATCTTTAGAATGGGGTATGTGAAAACATGAAAATAAAAAAATATAGATTTAATACTTTCTATTAGAAACAATTAATTTTTGCCTACTTTCCTTGTCACTTCTATCTTGGGTTTGTTTTTTTTTTGGTTCTGTTATCTTTGGATTGTATTACATCCATAAGTAGATATCCAGACACAACACATCTAATTTCAAAGTAATTTTTGTAGTTTGTGTTTTAAGACATGCAAAACCTCCTACCTCTTTTCTACTCGTTTTGTCTTGGGCTGGCATTTGTCCTCAATAAATGAACTGTTCAGAGCACGATGTAATCTCTAGAGGGAAATGAAGAAAATAAATTAGTAAAAGCAAGACTGAGAATAGCTCCATAAATAGGTAAACAAATTGGGCTTTGTGTTATGGGCCTGAGCATAAATTATTTTGCACATTCAAGGATACAAGCAATGTCTGTGCTTTGTCATTACAACAGATTTATTTTCCTACAGTTTCCCAAGAAAGGATGATATGAAAGGTTGATGAACAGTTTACAAACAATCCTTGGTGTTGGAATTCCTCAGGAAAAAGTGGATCTTCGCAAAAGTCATTATTTTCTAACACATCTCTTTCACTGTGGTGCTTTAAGGCAATAGAAGCTCTTCCTTTTTGTGCCTTTTGCTGCACAGTAATAACCTGTTCCTTTAAAGCAAATACCTACAGCAATTTTCTTCCATTGTTTTCCCTAGAATAGGGAAGTTACTCAGCACCTCCTGCATGCATCAGAAGTTTGTGAACCTGTAACAGAGATAAATGCTCTGGTCACCCAGTTCAAGGCAGTAACACTGGTAACACCAACACAGGAATCAAGAGGTTACAAGTGCAAATGGAAAGGTCCCTTCTGGAGGCTTGGCAATTGTGAATATTTGAACTGTTTCCTCTGTGCTTCTCATTTCATCACTAAGTAAGTCTCTTAAAATTCCAGAAGCTGCTGCCACACTTCAAATGCCTTCTACCCCATGTTCTTGTCCAGACGTTCTCAGTCAACCTCATGACTTTCACAGGGTTTCCTCTAAATACTTACCTGACTTGTATGAAGCCAGTACTTCATCCTGGATTTCTTCCTGATTCGTGGCAGGACCAGTCTGTACACGATGTGTTCCCCAATGGTAGTGAGAATGGACAAGCCAAACCCAATGCACAACATCACGAAGAGCCCAGAAAAGTGCTTGATGCCCATTTGCAGTGTCTGTGAATAAAATCAACAGGGGAGTTCAAATGAAGTAGGCTGTTAGTGTATTTTAACAGATGCTTCTTTTTTCCCATTTGGAAACGCGCTCTAACTGGATACAGAGTGGTGAAATGCTGCAGAATGATCTGGGTGCTGCTCACAACAAAGCCTTTCTGTACTGATGAAGCTCAGTGTTCAATCAGAGAAAGGGACCTTTCATAGAAATGAGAATCAGCCAAAGCCCAGGGAATTTTTTTCCTCACGCCACTTCCCTGATGAGATAAAGTGTTGAACATACATGAGAATCCAGTATTTGTGGTGTCTCTGCATTGGTAAAAGCAAATACCGCCCAGCAGAATACAGTCAATGAACTGTGGAGTAAGTCCTTCATCAGCAAGGAGCTAAGACTGACTCTTCATATTTTCTAGGAATTGATCACTAGTTTCCCCTTTTTGTGCTTTTACCCTTGATGGAAAGTCTTGGAGAAAATGTTTTGAAGTAGTAGCACAAACACAGCACATCTCCACTCCCTACACTAACAGGACAGAAACTGTATTTGCTAGGAACTTCAGCTGCAACTGTGAAAAACAGGAACACTCTCCCCTTGTTCTGCTAACCCACCCTTTTCATGTAGAGTAGGAAGCCGTTAATTAATTTGAGTCTCTTGTTGGCATTAATCGTGTCTGAAGACCAACTAAGGATGCACAGCAGCAATCTGTATTACAAAAACCCAATGGGTGGGTCAGGTTAGGCATGTTGTGTATAATCTTAGTACTTTCATTCTCGTGTCTCCATAACTCAGTTTATCAATAACTGAAATCCCTTGCTAATAACTACTGCCCACAGACTACTGTAGAAATATCTTCAAGAATGCAAGTTCTACTTACAGAATCATGGAATCATAGAACAGTTTCAGCTGGAAGAGACCTTCAAGATCATCGAGTTCAGCCTTTGTTCCAGTACTATCAACCTACTAAACTGTGTCCCCCAGTGCAACATCCACCTGTCTCTTCAACCCATCCAGGGACAGGGACTGAACCCCCTCCCTGGGCAGCCTGTTCCAATGGCTGACAGCCCTCTCAGTAAAGAAATTCTTCCTAATATCCAACCTGAACCTGCCCTGGTGCAATTTAAATCCATTTCCCCTCATCCTATCACTCTCCACTAGGGAGAACAGACCAGCTCCCACCTCGCTACAACCTCCCTTCAGGTAGTTTAGAAAGTGATGAGGTCTTCCCTCAATCTTCCCTTCTCTAGGGTAAACAACCCCAGATCCCTCAGCCTTTCCTCATACAACTCGTGTTCTAAGCCCTTTCCCAGCTTGGCAGCCCAACTCTGTGCCCTCTCCAGCACCTCAGTGTCTCTCCTGCGGTGTGTCCAAAACTGGACACAGCACTCGAGGTGCCTTTCTATTACAGAATGCTACTCACCATGTCATTAAAAAAGGAGCAGAAAATGGCTTGGTTAGTGTCATCTGTCAGAAGATGGTACCTGTGATGCCATCTCCCTCAATAACTGACCCGTGTGTTCCTTCAGTTTGTTGTTAGTTTGGTGCCTGGGTGGTGGTGGTGATTGTGTTTTGTTATGACTATAGCTGTGTATTCCAGCAAAGAGACTGGATTTAGTGACAGATAAATCACAGAATGTCGGAAAAAACTTGTTCTGAGGTCGCTTTAAGCCAAAGACTTGACCAGTGATGAGTCCATTGAAACTGAAGGCTCGGTAGCTCCTTAGTGTACTTTTTGTTGGGCAATTATGAGCAGTATTTCTGTCTTCTGGTTTTCGTACTTGATTTCTGTTCTTTAAAACACAACCCTACGAAATAGCATATCACAGATTTTTAACAAGAACAGAGCTTCAGCAATCTTGCAGAGTGAGAACTTTTGCATGTGGCACTGGCAATGAACTCTTACTTCGAGAATTCTTTGCCAAAACCAACCCGCTTGCCCCAAAGTGCACCAAGGAGAATTTCTGGGAAGAGAATTTTTCTACCAGTGAATAAACACTTCAAGGGTGTTGAAGTGTGTAACGGGGGTGTAAAGGCAATTTCTAAAGAAACTTACTGCAGCCTGGAAAGTAGAAAACAACAATAGATTGGTTCTGAGATAGAAGTATGTCAGAGTCTTGGTGTCAGGGTTTTATGAAGCATCAGTTCAACCTAAATGCAGAACTGCTCTGTCAGCACCAGAATTTCTTGGTGGCAAGAGCCTGTTGTCCCCTACTTTGTCCTTCCATGAGGGTGACACAAAAGTCACAGGTGGTAACAATTCAAACCACTCAAAAACCAAAGTGTTGGACTGGAGGGCTATGTTACCTCGCCTGTTTCTTTTAAGGAGCAGCAAACCCCAACTACTACCCCGTGTAGCACAAAAGCAGAATGAGACCCCATGTTTGATCTTTTTCTAAGAGGTCTTTACAGACAAGACTTCATTCAGCATATATAAGAAGCAAAAGCACTGCTGTCTGTGCTAGACCAGCACACTGGCTAAATGTGCTTTTGCTAATTCTCCAAGAAGTATGAATGCAAATCACTTGCTTCACAAAAACGATGTTAAAGGGCAAGCATGAAACAACTTAGAGATGTTGAATGAGAGAGTAATTAAAAAGGAACAGATGTACTCAGTCATCTGAAGAACACGCATATATATGTACATATATATATGTATGTATATATATGCTCCCAGGCTGCTGCTGTTTGCAGTCATGCAGAGTAACAGCCTATGGGGTGGGCTTTGCCATAAAACCTGTGCATCAGCTGGGTGAAGGTCCTTCTGCTCAGCTACTTGAGAAGCAATGCAGAAGTCCCCAAAGGCAGGGGAAATCTGTAAGAAGGCCTGATCTGCTTGTGTTAGGTTGCTGTACAGTATGAAGCATTTGTATTTCTTCGAGAACAGGAACGAGGTTTAGAGCAACACGATAAAACCCCAGCCATTCAAAATAATAACAACCAGACATGGTGGCAGTGGGGATTCCTGGATTCCTGCATTCCTGAGCTGTCTTCTCCAGCCTGGAGTCAGTGTCTGTGATGCCACCCCAGTGGTGCTGCAGAGAGAACACCTGGGCAGCTCCTCGCATGAAAAATAACTCCCTTGTCTGCCGTAAAGCTGCTCTGATTTATGCTGATGAGGGTCTGGCTCACTGTCCTGTCAGCTCTGCAGAATATTTTTCTGCCTTCCCTGGAAACAGGTAAAAGAAATCCTAGCACTGGCACCTCAGATACATTTTTCACCTGTAATGGATAGCTCCTGAAATCGTCCCAAACAAGACATCTTTTCCTAGGAAAGGAAATGCCAAAACAAAACATTAATAATATTTTATCTAGCAATAAAGAAGAGGATGCATTGAAAACGCTGCCTGGTAAAGGTGCACGGTAGAGGGAAATTTCTGAGGCTAAATTAAGTGGAGAAACAATGTAGGGAAGAAATAATTAGTACATTGTGTCTTACAGTGTACGGAGTGATTATTCATAGCAGTATCAGCACACATGATTGTAAGAAGGCTGTTCATAATTACTGTAGACACACACATGTTAAATAATAAAGGAACCTATCTAACAGAGGTACCTCTCATTTTCATAGCTCCATGCTGACTGGTAACAGAACAACAAGCTTTACTAATTTTGTAGTTTGTCTATGTATTTGAAGGTGCATATATAGAATATGTTTTGAAAGAAGGGCAATAAACTGGGTTGTCTGTATCATTGCTTTCCTCTCTGCTAACGTGGTAGGGTCAAGTACGTGTGTTAGGTCTCTGAAGGCAACAGAAAACCAACTGACTACTTTCTCTACTGAAATATCTTATTTTCTTTTCATTCCTTTTTTTTTTTTTTTTTAAGGAATAGAAGCCCATAATGTGTTGTACTCTCTATTAACCTAGAATAAAAATTGTTCCAACTTTGTTATCATAAATTCCGGAGGTGGCTCCCTGCATTTTAGGAGAAGGAACTGAATTATGCCCGTGTGGTGTTTCTGAAGCAATAAAGCAATGATAGTCAATCCTGAGATGATTACTGCTAATATGTGCTAAGCACTACACTGGCAACAGCCTCTCAGTTATTTGCCACTTGCAAATTTGGAAACTGGCAGTTTCTGAAAACCAGCAAATACAAGAATAGAAGTAGAGGTATGTGCTTTTTTAATACATCCTTGGAGAGACTTTTCCAGTTTATCAGCCCAGATCTGCAACTGCTACCTAATAATTTCCTGCTGTCTCCTCTGTAGCTATAGAAATTTTCTTTGGACCCTGAGAGAAAAGAGTTTGATATTTGCATTCTCTTTGAAGGGAGGAGAAGAGACAAAAAACCAGCACTTGGTGACTTCATTATTGGATTTCATGGGCAAAACTCCTGCTTTGCTCCTTACTACAAGAGACTGTAGATGCTTCCCTCTCCCTGGTTGTACTGGGAGCAGTGAATAAGCCACCAAATATGCCTGTGGTCCAGCTTTGACTAATCAGGAGCCTCTAAGGAGTTCTGTGGGTATTTTGGCAGCCCAGCACAGGTATTGGTGCTACACACTGCGGAACCCAGACACTGAATAAGGGTACTGTGTGTCTACCAGCTGTAGTAATAACCTGTCCTTCTTAACAGCATTTTCCCTGCAAGGACTGTAAAAATCTTTGGTGAGACCAGCAAGTGAAACTTTGCAGCATCTCTGTGAGGAAGGAATTATTTTAAGTTTTACTGGTGATAAATGGATGTGAAGGGCAGATTTCTGAACTCATTTGGCTATCAGTAGGTTTGCCAAGTCCTACTGACCCTGATGCTTTTTTTTAGTAACTAAACAGTGTCAAAATCTGTCTCTGTCTCTGGATTGTGGCATGTCTTGTAAATGCAGAGGCTGTTATTTCAAGAATCATAGAACAGAATCATAGAATGGCCTAGGCTGGAAGGGACCTT